TTTATTATCTTCAAATTTAAGTCAAGATAAAATCTATATTTTCAATAAAACAATTATTTCATTCTGAGCGGAAAGTATCAATAGAGACACCAAAATATTTGTAATATATTATATTGCGTGATTTATTATATTATACAATTATATAATATTGCATATTTCCGCTATATTAAATACTAAAAATATCTATAGTTGGTAACACACAAAACTTATACACCCGAATTAAGTATCTTATCCTTATGAAATCGGTCAAAAATCGATGAACAAATGGGCAATTGAGATCGATGTTGTAAGACGGATTGATTAATGATCGCAATGCGGAATAGCTTAATGCTGATGGACGCTTCCATATCACTACCATTTATCCTTTAGATAGATATGTCAAGGTACAGAAAAATACTTTTAAGCTTTATATAATGTACTTTAAAATTTTATATGACGCAAACTTTTAAAATAACAAATTTCAAATATTATTTTGCTTTATATTGACACCACATGGTATTCTAATTAACTACAATTTACGTGGAACAAATCAGGTAATTCCTTGGGCTATCCTGTATATAAAACCTACTTCTCATTTCTATAAACTATCTGTATGTAAAAAATCACATCGGTGTCTTTCTTCATATAATACTACTAACTAGCGCTATATCTTTAATTCTACGAGAGGTAGATATGGTTATAATCTTCTATTCATATAATAAAATTGCAACAAAGTCGAATCTGTACATTAAATATTTTTTGGAAAATCTTATTGAAATAGACATTATTATCGATACAGAGTCCAATTCTATAGTTTTTAGAATTTTTGTCTGTCTGTCTGTTACCGCATCACGAGAAAACCACTGGACAGATTTTGATCAAATTTGGTATGATGATAGCTGGTTATCCGGGTCAACATATAGGATACTTTTTACCGCGGGAAAATATCTTATTCCTGAGAAAAAAATACAAAAACTGCATTGTAAGAGTATACTAATATGTAAAACCTAAGAATTTGATTTTTGGTCGTCTGGACGCGGGCGGAGCCGCGGGCAATGCTAGTGGGGCTATAAAAGCTTATTTTAAAATATATGAATTTAGCTACTATTACTTATTATTTCTTAAATATAAGACTTTTAATAAATATTTAAAGCGCCACTAGAGTCGCGTTTCAACTTTATCATCCTCGTATATATTGTTGATTATTTTTTAACGTACAATTATGGTAACTACCTATTTATAATATTTGTGAATGAGATTTACAATTATCACATTGTAACCTGTACGGGACACAATTTACATTGCCATTTATAGACTTTTTGCATACATAATTCAAAAAATAATTGCGGGTATTTTGTGTAGATTGCTTTACCACATTCACATGTGAAAATGAAAAGAAATTTTTTTAGATAGGAAAACATTTTACCGACTTCAATTATAATGTGGTCATCCATTTTGACTTTGGTTAATTTTATGAATATAATGTGAAAGTTATCATCTACTATTATAAAGAAAAAAATGTGTTTTTTGTATGTTTGTTTGTAATGGATAAACTAAAATCAAGTAAATAACCGATTTAGATGAAATTTGGCATGAAGATAGTTTAAGACTCTGGGAAGGACATATGTAGTATAATAGTTTTAATTCCGGAAATCATACCATACACTCAATAGATTAAAATGAAACAAGTTAAGAAATGGACGAATCAAGAAACTTGTTATAGGTACAAATAATTTGGGTTTCCAAGGACTTTTGATATGTAAATTATTGGTTTCGTTCATTTTCACGCGGTAAACGGATTGAATTACACATGTACATTTTCAATCTTTTTTTTTTAATTTGTAAATAAATGATTGTTACACGAGGTAGTGTTTATGTCATTTACAAGCATTGTGTACGAATTTCAGAATAAAACTATTTTAGTATTTATTATTAATATTAAAATAATACTCTTAAAATACCTATTCGGTAATAATTATTTGGCAAACCATTTGGCCGAATATGAACATAATAAAATACGCGAAACATACCGAATACAACTTCTAATTTCAAGATTACTGACACTGACACTTGACAATTACTGAGCGAATGTCAATGGGATTTCCTTGCTGTATAGGATATCTATGCATATAATAAAATTGTAACTGAGCCGAATCTGTACATTAAATATTTTTTGGAGAATCTTATTGAAATAAACATTATTATCGATACAGAGGCCGAATTTATAGTTTTTAGAATTTTTGTCTGTCTGTCTTTCTGTATGTCTGTTATCGCATCACAGAAAAGCCACTGGAGGGATTTTGATGATATTTGGTATGGTGATAGCTGGTTATCCGATTAACTTTTTACCGTGGCAAAATATCTCATTTCTGAGAAAAATCATGATGGTCATCTGAACGCGTGCGGAGCCGCGGGCAATGGTAACGGTAACGGTACAAATATAATATTTTATTTTGTTATGTTTGTAGTAAGTATAAAAATGTTATTAAAGTTATGGTAAACGGTTTGTAAGCGACGTATTATAAAAAGTATTATATTTGTATATTTTATTTTGTTATGTTTTTAGTAAGTATAAAAATGTTATTAAAGTTATGGTAAACGGTTTGTAATGAGTGTGAACGATATGGATGCTAAGGGGACGCGGGCGCAGGGGGGAACCGATTACGTTAGTTTTCGCGAGAGCGCGCCACTTTTACTTTGCACTCATCACGAGCCGCGAGCCGACTAGATCTAAAATTCGACTTTTCTTTTACCTGCGTTATAAAGTGGTCTTCGAGCCGAATTATACTGTTATATCTATGTTCACCACACCTCCATCATCTACAATGGTCACCACGCGAAGTAACAGTGCGTAAAGAACGCGAAATGTCGAAACATATGGAAGCGTCGACCAGCCAACCATCAACTTACCAGCCAAACGTGCAGACAGCTGAAGAGTCTGAAAATAATACGTGATTAAGAAGGAAAAATATAAGAAGAAACCTAGATAATAAAGCATTGTTTACCTGAAAAGTGTAAAAAAGTAGATGACACGCCCGTTGAAATACCCACATCAAAAAAAAAGTGAATCTAAAAAAATCTACATCTTCTTCTATAAAAGGCTCGAAAGCTAAGCTGGAAATTATTAGCTGCAGAAGCTAAGGCTAAAATACAGATGGAATTAATTGACAAGAGGTTGGCAACCGACTTAGCTGATTTAGAAGATGAGCAAAGTGAACCTCGAGATAAATTACTCACATAGTACGGTGAACAGGTGGTTAGAACGCAGTCAGCAAGAAATGGAAAAGGTTGCAGCCAGTCAACGAGCATGGTAATGATTTAGGCGAGCTGCATCACCCAGGGTCAGTTCACCCTGGAACTTCACATGGAACAGTCCAGATGCTGGCTAGTGCACTAAGGGATCTCGCCGCCTCCTCCAACAATACTACTTCTAACGCTAAATTACTGAGCCGCTTAAGCACGCCTCGAGACTTACCTGCTTCTCCGGCGACCCCATGGAATGGCTGCAGTTTAAACAAGCATATGAAGAGTCAACGGAAGTGTGTAATTTTCAGCTCTAAAGAAAACCTGTGGAGAATACGTAGTGTCTTCGTGGACCCGCCAGGGATGCTGTCGCAGCCCCTCTTAATCAGTGCCACGGAACCTGAGAAAATAATGGCTACATTAGAGCTACGATTCGGTAACCCCGACGGCATTGTGATTAAAATTATGCAAGATATTAAAAAACTGTACCCAATTTCACAAGATTATCAGAAGGATATTGTTTCATTTCTCAGTAAAAGTACAGAACTTCATAGAAGCCATTAGATCCGTCAAACGCGATGAATATCTACAAGGAATGAATATAGTGTCGCTCATTTTGTCTAAATTACCTACAGTCCTACTCTCAAAATGGTCAGACTATAGTTTCCCACTTATCACCGAGGGCAAGAAGTCACGATTGGATATTTAGCAGATTTCTTACAAGAAGAAGCGGTGAAAATCTCGAACGACATCTAATATTCATCTCATCGGCAATAACTTCAACCGCGTACATAATACGGTGCTAGTGACAACAGACAATCATGACTTTAAGTGTTTATACTGCCGTGTTTCTAAACATAAGCTAACAGAGTGCAAGCGCTTTAAAAATCACTACGAAAAGATCGGTGGCGTCACGTTAAACGACACGGCATCTGTTATAAGTGTTTACTATCGCGTCACGATCGAGATACATGTCCGGCCGCGCCGTGTGATATCGAGAACTGTGGACAGTCGCATCATCGGCTATTACATTATCCTATAACAAAAGATATTCGTTCCCCGGGTAATATAACATTACGGAAATAACAGAAAGTGCAACAGTGACGAACATTAATTTATCTAACTGTAAAGTGTTTTTGAAAACCGTGCCTATTCAATATTCATGGGCCAAACGGTGTAATTAGTGCTACCGCTTTGCTAGACGACGGGTCGACCGTATCGTTAATAGATTATGAACTTGTAAAAAAACTCGGACTAAATGGACATAAACAAATTATGCGTGTGAGTGGTGCATGGAACAATAACTCATTAGAATGTGTTTGTGAGATAGTAGACTTAAGCGTGTCAAACAAAGACGGAACTATGTTTCCTATTCGCGTGAGAAGTGTAAAAGACTTAAACTTACCTGTACATGATTCAACGTCGATTGATCTTACTAACTATGTACATTCTATACCTGACATTAAAAATTGTTTTTAAATAATGAAACTCTGTAAACCTAAAATATTAATTGGTCAAGATAATTATGATTTATTGTTACCGCTTCAAATAATAAAATTAAAAATAGTAAATTATATGTTACACGTACTGAGTTAGGCTTATGCATTCATGGATGTTTACGCGAACCATCCCCGCTCCACCAGACCCCGCCCATTAAGCGAGTACATCATTCAGCGTTATTCATTACTAACGATTCAGATAAAGAATATGAAAATAAGTTACGAAATTTAGAAGAACAAATACGAATATCATTTACAATCGAATCAAAGGGCATCAGCATGAAACCCAGGAAAAATCTAGAAGATCTTCAAGCTATACAATATTTAGAAAAAACATCTGTACTTAAAAGTGGAAGATGGCATGTCGGTTTACCCTGGAAAGATAATAACTGTAAACTACCAAACTCGTACCCTAACGCCGCGCTAAGATTAAAAGGAGTACAGAAGAGACTGAAGACAGATAAAGCTTATGCTAGAAGATACACTGAAAGAATAAACCACTTACTTGAGAACGACTATGACGTCTTTAATATTTGGTGCTAATTGCTCGCCCTTTATTGCTCAATTTATAAAAAATAAAAATGCAAAGCAGTATGAGTCATTATACCCGGCCGCCGTGGACGCTATTCATAAGCAACACTATATGGATGACTATATAGATAGTATAGAAAATGAAGCTACGGCTATTAAAACTATACAAGATATTATATATATACATAAAAAAGGTGGCTTCGAGATAAGAAACATAACAAGTAACAACGAAGCGGTATTAAACTGCATTCCACAAGAGACCTTAGGAACGACTGCAGTAAGGTTCAAAATTGAACAGCCAAATGAGGGCGAACGTACACTTGGATTGATTTGGTATCCGAAAGAAGATCTGTTGTCTTTTGACGTTTCTTTTAAGAAGATTCCTGTAGATATAATAACAGGCGACACGCGACCTAGCAAGAGACAGATGCTTAAAGTTTTAATGTCAATTTTCGATATATTTGGATTTCTTTCGCCTTTACAATCAAAGGAAAAAATTATGTTACAAGACGTATGGAGATTACAATTAGATTGGGATGAAAAAATACCTGATATTATTTATGAAAAATGGATTGAATGGCTACAATTATTAAAAGAAATTAATCAGCTGCGTATCCCAAGCATTATGTAACGGCCGCAAGAGTAAACGAGACGGAACTACACTGCACTTCCGATGCGATTACGCATACGTCACCCGAGCGGCCGCCGTTGCCAGTGTCTTGTATTAGCGAATCTCTCGCGTGCGCGTCTAACGGCAGATAACTTCATGTTATACGAACCTACAGCTACATATATTTTGTGACGCGTCGACTAAAGCAATGTGCGCCGTAGCTTACTGGCGTTGGACAGTGAATAATCGCTATTATGTTACATTCGTCGCGAGTAAATGCAAAGTTGCTCCGCTTAAATATCAGTCAATACCTCGCATGGAATTACAAGCTGCGTTGCTTGCTGTGAGATTAGCAGATACTTTATGTAAAGAACTTAAACATAAACCTTACGAAAGATATTTTTGGTGTGACTCAAGTGTTGTACTTCATTGGATTCGAAACAATATGCGCAATTATACAGCGTTTGTCGCTCATCGCTTAGGAGAAATAGATGAATTGTCAAAACCAAACGAGTGGCGTTACATACCTACGAAACTTAATAGCGCGGATATCGCCACCAAGGAGACTTGTGATTTATCTGTGTTAAAAGAATGAGTGGTTTTATGGTCCGGCGTTTCTTCGTGATCGAGATACTGAATGGCCAGTAGACACACAGCTACCGGAGACGCCCCATCTGGATCTCGAATATACTATGACCATGCAAACATATAATAAATCCTTACCAGCTGTTCCTGATCCTGAAAGGTTTTCATCTTGGTTACATCTATTGAATTCAACCTGTAAAGTACTTACCTTTATTAATAAATGCAAGAAACTGGATACTAGCGTTGATGGATACACAAGGGGCGGCTGCTGAGCGATGGCTAATAAAATACTCTCAAGTTACAGTCCTTTTCCTGGGGATATAGCCAACCTGGAAAATAAAAAAGAAATAGATAAAAAAAGTAGATTACTTACCTTATCTCCTTTTCTGAATGAGCACGGAATCCTATGCGTGGGAGGCCGTATAAATGCAGCTACCGAGGTTCCTCTGCATCTGAAACAACCTGTTATATTAGATGGACGTCATCACGTTGCCCGGCTTATTGCACGATATTACCACGTGAGAGCCGCGCACGGTCACAATGAAGCTGTTGTTAATGAACTGAAACAGAAATATTGGATATTAAAATTAAGACCGACAGTAAGAAGAGTGGCTTCACAGTGTATGTTTTGTAGAAATAAGAAAAGCCACAACCGTGCCCACCCAGAATGGGTGATTTACCTGCGGCCAGAATGGCATCCAGATGTCGCCCTTTCACACATTGTGGTATAGATCTATTTGGACCAATGGAAATTACTGTAATAAGACGCAGAGAGAAAAGATATGGTGTATTATTTACATGCCTTACCGTAAGAGCTATTCATATAGAACTAGTACCTTCGTTGACCACGGACTCCTTGATCATGGCCCTCAGACGCATGGCTGCTCGTCGAGGCTGGCCTCAATTTATTTACTCAGATAACGGTACGAATTTAAGAGGTGCCGATAACGAGCTGAAAAAGGCAACGCTCGACTTGGATGAACATATATTAAAAGCTGAGGCCGTCAACTATGGAACTACATGGACCTTCATTCCTCCAGCTAGTCCTCACTGGGGTGGAGCTTGGGAGCGCCTCATTCGTTCTGTAAAAGACTCATTAAAAGTTGTCTTAAGAGAAAGGGCGCCGCGTGAAGAAACCTTAATAACGTTAATGACTGAGGTTGAGCAAATAGTTAACAGTCGAACCCCTTACACATGTGACGGTTGAGCCCAATAGTAATGAAACAATAACCCCTATCATTTTTGTTAGGTTCATCATCCAATCTACCTATTGTAGGTGTCTTTGATGATTCCGACTTATATTTACGAAAACAGTGGAGACTAACACAGAGGTTAGCTGACATGTTTTTGGAGGCGCTGGGTGAGAGAAGTGCTACCTACTATGCTGCCCAGGCAGAAGTGGAACCGCGACACAGAACCATTAAGAGTCGGGGACTTAGTATTAATCGCTGACCCCGAAAGCCCTAGAAATACCTGGCCCAAGGCATCATACAAAGAATAATCCCCGGAAAGGATGGCCGGGTACGAGTGGTTGAAGTAAAAACCAAAACAGCTTGCTACAACGTTCGGCAGCACGCGTCGCTAAAGTACCTATGGATGTTGAGTGCTGATGTAGCACTGGGGTGGAGATATTGTAAGCGACGCATTATAAAAAAAAAATATTATATTTGTATATTTTATTTTGTTATGTTTGTAGTAAGTATAAAAATGTTATTAAAGTTATGGTAAACGGTTTGTAAGCGACGTATTATAAAAAGTATTATATTTGTATATTTTATTTTGTTATGTTTTTAGTAAGTATAAAAATGTTATTAAAGTTATGGTAAACGGTTTGTAATGAGTGTGAACGATATGGATGCTAAGGGGACGCGGGCGCAGGGGGGAACCGATTACGTTAGTTTTCGCGAGAGCGCGCCACTTTTACTTTGCACTCATCACGAGCCGCGAGCCGACTAGATCTAAAATTCGACTTTTCTTTTACCTGCGTTATACTAGTAATAAATAATTGATCTGACTTCAAAACAACTAGCTTAACTATGATTTAGTTACAAAGTAAAAATCCGAAAAGATTAGATATTCAAAACGAAGTGAAATTAAGTCGTTCGAATCGATAACATCATACGTATATATACGTATAGGTACATAATATGTAGCTCCAGCTCGCAATTCTAGGTACTCTAATACCACTCGGTGTTGTGTTTAGGCGTTGCGGATAAATTAAAAATATAGATGAGGCCAGTGACAAAACATAATAATTTTCCTGTATAAAGCATTTCCTCTCTTTTCTCATGACATTCATGAAACACGCCAATTATTCTTGGATTCAAAATGGAAGTTACAAATAGAACTAACTCACAGGAATGCATTATTATTATAAAAAACCTATATGTACGTTGGGGTATAAACTATCAATTTTATCCGTGCGCATGATCCAAAGTTAAATCAACATCTTCGCAGGTTTTCACGCTTGCAGACTTTTCAAACAAAATTATCTTATTTTCTCATAATAACTAATCATAATGTTTTTAAACATTTTTAATCTTTAAAGGTATTTGATATTTAAACAAAAAAGATTCGTTCTTTTATGATATAAGAAAGAAGGCTTGCATCAGAACAGGAAAAATAACATACCATTTCCGTTAGGGTTCATAAACGTCACTGGCATCCCGCCTTTATCAGTGAAATGTCACAAAGCGGGGCAACTCTTGGAACTGGACCAAACGCCAGTCGCGCTCTGCTTCCCTGGTAGATAATTTTTTAAAACAACATGGCACATATCCAACGTATATCGAGTTTAGATGGTTTCATGGATTTATTGGTTAAATGCTGTGAAATATAAACATGAATTCGATGTCAATTTCACGTATCTAGTCTTATGTCACTGTGTGAAAATTGGTGTAGTAGTTTTATGATAGGCTGTAGGGTTATAATTTATGAGCTCGAGGGTTCGAGTTTCAGTTTAGACAAAACAATTATGTATTGAGTTTCTTCGGGTAGGTAACTCTCAATACCTCCAAACTGGAGTTCTTAGTGTTTCACGTTGGTACCTCCACAAGGATGTAAAGCTGCCGATTCTGTGTAAGTCTCATTATCACCTCCAGGTAAATTTCTAAGAAATTAATTGAAATTCTAAGAAATCTATTGTTAACTGACACGCCGGCGTGTCCGCGGTCGTGGAGAGATTAAAAAATTCCGCAAAATAAACTTTTGTATTTGATTTGTTAAGTATGATGTTAGGAACCATAAAATAAAGAAACATTAAATTTTTTAGTATCCCATTAATGAATTATTAGCTATCCAATTAAAGTTAATTTACTTACGATGTGAAATACTGACAATGAGACTTAAATATAGACAAACGAACGGTCCTTAAAGCTACAAAGAACCGACAGCAAAAAAGAGCAGGTAAGTTTAGGTGGTAGCTGATTATATTTCAACTAAAATTTCGAGGTAAAATACCAAAATTACTTTTATGGTGGTTTTTAAATTCTTGAAGGTGGCAAAGTTTATATGGAAAAATAATATTTTATCAACTAAGGTTATTTAGAGTCAGGTATAATAAATGTTCTTTAACTCATTAATGAATTGCGTATTTCTTCAGTATTCGATAATAAATAAGAACCAAGAGCAGATCTGGAGTAGATATCTAGTATTCATTAAGCAAATGCCGGTCTACGGTTACTATATTATCATACTTTATCTCCTAAAAACACAAAGCCTCGCGCTGTAGTTACACGTATAAAGCAAACGGAGATACACACTTTCAGTAGAATAAGCACTGAAATAACGACATCTATACTGCCCACCTGAGCCTAAAGTGCAGTAATAGACATTTTGGTCGGTTTTGAGTTAATTATATATTCAAAATCCCCATTTTAGTAGCTATCAGTCAAATTAATTCTTTTTTCTGTAGCGCTAATAAAAGTATTTTATTTTAATGTTTTTTCGGAAGGTGTAACAGAAAAAATATCACAAATCTGTTAAAATATTCCATGTTTACCAGCTAAACCGCAGTACAATTAATACTGCACAAGATTTTTCTCTGTTTCCTAACTAAACTGCAGTGTTTTATCATATTTTGTGGTACTTAAAATAGTAGTTTGTTCTAGGAGATTCAAGAAAAAACTTATTAAAATGCAGTATTAACATTCCATACTGCACATTAACTTGTGGGGGATTTTGTAATTTCTTGTGAAAAACTAAAAGACATGCAGTATTTAATAACTTTACTGCAGTTTAACTTGTAGGATGTTTTGTAGTTGCTTGTAAAAGACCATTTAGTTTACAATATTTATAAATTTTACTGCATATTAGTTAGTTTGCTCCATCCAAGTCATACTACCTAAAATACTTAAAGTCAAATACTATTCCCTAATACTGCGTTTTAATAGGTAAAATTATTAAAATATTAAAATACAGGACAGGCAATATCGCGGTTTGAGGCAGTCCTTCTGTCTGTCTGTCTCAAGGATCTGTGGCTTAAGGCTGACTTGACATGCCATGTTGTGTCTGTACCAAAGAGATATGGAGGGTAGAACTAAGGAGAACTATTTCTCGTATAAAAAGTGACCGCTGACAAGCATTAAATTGGTGGCGCCACAGAAAACAAGTATATGAATCTATACATCTATACAGATAAATAAAATTGTAGTGTCTGTTTGTAATGTCAAAATAAACCTTTTCACTAAATGCATATGAAATTATATACGGTACTTATAAGAAAAACAAATTTTTAAAATTTTTTGTCTGTCTGTTTGTTCCGAATAATCTCTGAAACGGCTGGACTGATTTTGACGGACTTTCAGTGGAAGGTAACTGATGTTATAGGGAGTAATATAGGCTACTTTTATTTTTAAAAAAGAATTAGAGAAGAAAGAAATTAAACAAGGAAAGAAAGATTTCCGCTTTGCTGTGGCGCGCTTTTCAAAATAGTTCTAGCATAGGCAAACAGCAATATAATTATATATTATTTTCAAGTAATAATAATTCAGCACACTTCACTCCGTT